TGTCTATGTCCTTCACTCAGCAGGTGTGATCTGTCAAATCCTGCTGCTTTCCTCTTCCTGACACTGTTCCTTCCCTTCCATCTCTACAATCAAACTAGTCACCCCTTTCTTGGACTACTGCAGGTTTATTCTTACTGCCCTCTTCTCAGCAGCACCAGATGATACTTACTGTCAAAGGAGGCCTTTCTGCCTCTTGCTGTGGTCACAGCTACCCCAGAATGATGAAACAGACTCTTTCATTGAGCAAAAATCAAGACACAACTTTAATCAACTAGTTTATTTTTCTTAACTTTTAGCTCCTAGTTTTATCCCTTATGCTCCTCTAAAGTAAATATACTCTTCTCTTTTATTACAATTGTTCTGACCATAATGTCTTTTTTCAAGCATCTCACCATGAGATCTTATTCTAAAATTATCCCACCACAAATCCTTCTTTTACTAAAACTCAGCCCTTATTCCTGGGACTGTCATCTTCGACATCTGTAAATATTTTGGTTGCTTCTGTCCCAGCTGTTTCATCTTACCCATAACTGAGAAAAGAAAAAACATCTATGTTATGAATAAATCCAGGTTTTTCTTTTCACAGAGCTGAAAGAGTTTAAAAATCTATTGGTCCTTGTTAACAGATATACAACCCAGAGGGAAATACAGTTCAAAGCAGTGACAAGAAAAAAATAAAAGCATTTTATATGAATATTTTCAAAAAAAATCTATCAATCCTTGTAAAAGACCCTAAAAGTGGACACAGAACAACTCACAGTATGTCACAGGCCTCAAGAAAAAATGATAGTATATACCGTGCTTAGCCAAAGCCAGAACTGTGTTAGGATGCAGGGCCAGCTTCTTCAGGTGCAACTCTGAAGTGTGGTAGGTTTGGAACCACAGAAAGCACCACGCTGGGCATGCCCTAACTTCATCGCCATATCTACTGAATTACTTGCATCCTTCCCAAAAAACCAAGCCTCCTTCCGGCAAGTAAAGGCCAATGTCTGACTTTCTCAAGTATAGTTCTCCTGCATCCATCTCTTCTCCTTCCACGGCCTTCAAACAATCTCTTCCCTGGTCTTTCCCTTTCCATTACCCCATCCCTGCCTTCCCTCACCCCTGATGCAGTTATCACATTCTCTCCATTCCCCTCAATGGTCAAGCATTCTGTATCTCCTCATCTCTCTCATACTCTTAAACCTACTAAATTTGGCTTTTGCCACCACTGTACGCTCTTCTTACCAAAGTCAATACACTAATTTCAGTGTACTCTTCATTCTGCATCTTTTCCGTCAAACAGTCTCTTCTCTTGACTTCTATGATGCCACCCTCTCCTGTTTTTCTTCTCACCTCCCAGACCTGACCCCCACATGTTAGATTTCCTCAAACCCTGATCCCGGATCACCTTTTCTGCTCACCATATACATTCTCCCAAGGCACATCTTATCCACTCTCAGGGATATAAGTACCATTTGAGCTCTGAGATTCCCCAGAACTACTTAACTAAATCATGGTATTAACACAATTTTCTGGATCTTCAACCTCATCTCTAAAGAATCCCTTCACATTCCAGCGTCATGGTTAAAGTAGGGTCCTGGATCTCCCCGGAGGACAGTGCCCCCTAAGCTTTCTCTAACATGCCTCTTGTAGTGGGGCCTCGGGGTAGGGCACAAATGTTCTGCTTGTTCCCCATTGACACTTCTGGCTACTGTTGCTCCCTTCCTGCCTGAACCACTCAGCTCTGAAGCCCATGGAAACAGACACCACCTGCTACCCCTGCTTGCTACAGTTATTAATATTTAAAGATTTCTTTCAGTCCTTGAAGATTTTACATATACACATATAACCCTGTCTCAGGGTTCTTTGCACTTTTTGTTCCCTTTGCTTGGAAAGCTCCACCTAAAATGCTCATCTCCCAAATATTTTTTCTTCTGCTCAAACGTCAACTTACCACTGGGTCTTGCCCAACCACCCTATATATTAATAAAACATTAAATCCTGTGTAGAGGCCAGGGATGCTGCTCAACACCCTACATGTACAAGACATGCACAAGCCCCTGACGATGAAGATGGATTTGGCCCAAAATGCCAATGGTGCAGAGATTGGAAAATCCTGATTATTCTCATTCTCCAGTTGATTTCATTCAGTAAAACAGCTTTAAGTGCCATCTAATACCAACAATCCCCAAATCTGTATCTTCAGCTCAGCTTCTCCACTAAAATCCTGACTGCTGCTTCAAAACTTCTATTTGGATGTCTAACAGGGATCTCAAATTAAACCTGTCTAAAACAGAATTCCTGGACTCACCAAACCCAAAAAACAAACAAAAACACCTGCTTCACCTATACTTTCTTCCATCTCAATTAAAGGCATCTCTATAACTTCCAGTTACTCAAGCCAAAAATCTGGGGATCACTTTTGACTCTTCTTTCTTTATACTATCTGATGCAATAGTAATTCTAACAAATTCACCTGGATATGTTTTCCACATATCCACAATCAGAACATTTCTCACTGCCTCTATCACCACCCCCATGGTCTAAACTATCATCATCTCGTCTGGATTGTGGCACCAGCCTCCTAATTGGTCTCCCTGCTCCCACCCTTACCCCCACTACACTCTACTCTCAACATAGCAGCAACAGCAATCCTTTAAAAGCACAGATCTTAGATTGTGTACTTCCTCCACTTAAACTCTCCAATGGCTTCTTCCCATCTCACTCAGAGCAAAAGCCAAAGCCCTAAAATAACCAAAAAAGCCCTGATCTGGCTCCCAGTTACCTCTTTCTTACTATACTACCCTTCGTTCACTCAGCTACAGTCTAGGCCCCTTGCCATTCTCTCAACATGACAAACAAGCTCCTGTCTCAGGGTTCTTTGCACTTTTTATTCCCTTTGCAGGGAAGGCTCCACCTAAAATGCTCATCTCCCAAATATTTTTTCTTCTGCTCAAATGTCGACTTACCACTGGGTCTTGCCCAACCACCCTATATACTAAAAAAACATTAAATCCCGTAGACATTCCTCTTTCCCTGCTTCCTCGTTTTCTATTCCACTTATCACCTGACAAACTACCTATACTTGGGGTTTTTTTAGTTATTGTTGTTACTGCCTGTCTCCCTCCATGAGAGCAGGGACTTTGTTTTGTTCCCTGCTATATCCCCAGTCCCTAAAAACTAACTGAAACATATTAGGCACACAAAATATTTCTTAAATAAATGAAATTTGTATCTCTAACATAAGTCTCTCTCCTGAGCTTTAGACCTATAAATTTCAATGCCTACTTGACATTTCCAAAGGGCTGCTGCCCAAGTACTTCAAATTTAGTATGTCCAAAAGAATGATTCAAATCTCTCCAAAATCCATCTTCTATATCTCAGTAAATGGCAACTCCTCCCCAACCATATCTGGTTAGTCACATCCGAAACCAGGGAGCTGTCACTGCTCCCTCCCTTTCCCTTACGATCCCCTACCCCATATTCAATCTATCACCAAGTCCTAGGGAATCTATCTTCTAAATGTATCTTAAATCCATCTTCTCTTTTCCTAGTCATTCCCACAATTGAGCCACCAGCATCCCTTAAGTCAGCCATCATAAAAGTCTTTTTTGGTATTATACTCATCCAACCCAAATCCACTTTCCAAAACAGACCAATATTCTAAAAATGCAATTTTCATCATGTTAGTAACTCTCCAAAAACCCTTCAGTGATGGTTCAATATTCTTAGAGTCAAATCCAAAAATCTTTAAAAATGATCCAAGGGTCCCTCATGGTCTAAGTCCTGCCACCTCTCCAGCCTAGCATCTCTCACATCACTTTCTGTTTTACCCACTGCGTTTAAGCCACACAGACCTCTGGTCAGTCCCTCAAACCTGCCAAGGCCTTTCCATATGGTGATCCTGCTTGCTGGACTGTTCTCTGCCCCACTCCCCATGCCTGGCTAAGTTTTCATCCTTCAGATCTCAGACTAACTGAATTCCTTAAAGTCCCTTCCTGCCCCACTAATGACACATAGTTCTCCAATTAGCCTCTCGTAGCCCCTATACTCTTGGGCAAGTATGAAAATTTGTATTTATATATCTGTGTTGTGGTAATCAGTTTACTGTCTCTTTCCTCCACAAAACTGCCCCATGAAAGGTAGGTCCACATCTATTCTCACACTGCTACATCATCTTGCATAATGAAAATGGTAGTTGTTTTGTTCATCATTTCATCCCAGTACCTAGCATATTGTCTGACGCGTAGAACCTCTAATCATATTTGCGGAATGAAGAAAGCTGTAAAGCACTACGTAATGTGTTCATGTTTCAAAGTGGTCTTAGAAGCTTTATCCCCTAAGCTACATTCCCTCTGCTTTTAGTGTTGTTTGGGGGGTATCTCTTCTAGAACTCTATGTCTCCTTAGTCTCCCCTGATTCTGACATGAATTGAAAACGGTCTTTCTCTTTTCCTAAGTGTTGATTACCGCTTCATAGAATGACACTGCCAACAGCGAGAAAAATTTATACACTGAACCCTACCTTCCAGGGGGTTTTGGCGAACCACAGCACTTACCAATGAATGAACCTGTTTCTGGTAATGGAGAACAACTTGCCACTTTCCACATAGTAGAAGCCTCCCGCGCTCTCACTGTATTTCACAGCGCCAGTCACAGCATTTACAGTCCCTGCAAAATGAACGCGGTCAGCCTGCACACATGATTCTCTGGGGATGACAGGGATTGAGACGTTGAGAAAGCAGAGGGTGACGGATTGACAACCCATACAAAGAGAAGGGAAAGAAAAGACGAAGACGTCGTATACCAAGGAAGCTCTGATCCAGGGATTATAGGCATGTGGACTCAGGAGGATGAACCAGGGGGCGGTCAGAGACCCAAGGGAGGAGCCCGAGGGGAAGGATTGGATCGTGCCCTCCCTGGCCACTTCCGTACCAACGCCGCTGACTGTGAATTCCCGAAAATGCCTCGGCCTTTCGCGCTCAGCTCCACTTAGCTCCACGAAGCTCCGTTCCAGGCCTCCCCCCGCCGCCATCTTCCCGCCGCCGCCGCCGCGATGCCCGACGGGACACGGGCAAGGCCGCGCGGCTGTCGTCACTTCCGGGGGCCGGGCGAGGGGAGCAGCGGACAGGTGAAGCAATGTAGGGAGGAAAAGGCGGGTCCTACCCTTTACTGCGGGGCTTTTACCGTGAAAATGAAGTGGGCGGGGAGGAAGCCAGAAGAGAAAAGGGCTGTGGAAGCCGACTCTTTCTGCGGGGTTCTTCCATTGGCTGGTTCGCATGCTCCGGAGGGCGGTGCCCTTTTCCCGGCGGCCTCAGAGCGGGAGGCGGCGCCGGGTTTGTTTCCATTTTAAAAACGCCGGCGCTGGCGGTGGGGCTGTCTCCCGAGGCGCGGGGGGGAGGTCCGGAGGGGTTCGGCCGTTCGGCAAACTTGGGATCCGTCCTCTGCTGGACCCCAAGTTTGCGATCACCTCTGCCTCCGTCAGAGTGTCCGTCTGTAGATCTCCCCTGAGTCTCCCTTTCTTCACCCTTCAGCGACACGTGGGAAGAGGGGAAGTGAAGGGGAAAGGAGCCTTTTGGCTTTTTTTCCGAGAGGCTATTCGTGTAATCTATTGTAATGAAACATAATGATGTGTTTAATTAAGCATTGATGCTGCAACCTGCGGAGGTTGCATTAATGTTACTCGTTGTAGAGCAGAGATGAGTCAACACCATTGAACTCTGTCCAAATTGCAGATTCATGAGCTAAATACATGATTGCTATTTTTAAATTTAAAAAAATTTTATTTAATATGGGGTTTCACTATGTTGCCCAGGCTGGCCTCAAACTCCTGGACTCAGGAGATCCTCCTG